TCTACCATGCACTACCACTTGAGGAGGGCAAAGAACAACACAGAGAAGTGCCAGCAGCTGGTTGCCAAGTCATCATCTGGTGCACTTGCCAAAGTGAAGTCCCTCGTTGCCATGCTGACCAGTGAGGCAGGGCCAGCTGAGGGTGAGGCAGGGCCTGCTGAGGATGAGCCATGCTGCTCAGGGTTTGCAAGAAGATCTCCAAAGTGAAGCACCACACACCCCAGTGCCTGCAAGCAAGCAGCAAGGCCAAGAAGCAGAGGAAAAAGAACCATGCTCCTCGAGCTCCTCAAGCCGCAAAAGCCCAAAGCAAAAGACAAAGAAGCAGCCAGAGCATGGCAAGAAGAGCCCTTTCCACTACAGAAAGGAGTACTACAAGAATGGCAACAAGTTTGGTGTTAAGAAGTTTAACAATGGGAAGTGCGTGGGCCAGATTTTTGTTTTTGGGCACAAGGAAATCCACAAGCTGGAATTGGATGCCTTGGCATCCAAAGTCCTACACGATCTTCATTTGAGGCCAGGGGACAAGGCCAAAGAAGAGGAGATCATGCTCCTGGCCAAGCACAAAGTTTGGAAGATGCTGAAGAATAAGCATGATTAGTTTGGCATGGGTAGCTGTGTTTAGCTTGGGGTTGTCTCACACGTAAAGACATCAAAGGGATCCATGCAACACATTCATCCTTGCTAGAGGGCTAGCCTCTGCAGAAGAGGTGCACCAAGCAAACCTTGCACAATTGTTTTTTTGTGGAAGTTTGTTATGCCAGAAAGCCCCTGCAGAAGGGGAGCTGAAAAACAATTCCCCTGCAGAAGGGGCGGAGAAGAGAACAAACAGCAAATCCTCTGCTGAAAAAGCAATTCCCCTGCAGAAGGGGAGGAGGAAAGCAAAGCACAGCCTCTGCAGAAGAGGGTGCGCGCGCAAGCCTCTGCAGAAGAGGCTGCAGGCATATCTTGCATGAGCTGATTTGCAAGCGTTTGAGCACACACACACACATTAATTGTTGGTGCTGCAGTTCCATGGCTCAAGCTGAGATTAGCCTGCAGGTAAAACACTTGCTGGTGAGAAGCATGAATAACATGCAGCCTGGCACATTCACTGTGGAGCAGCTGCAAGCCATGCTGCAAGCCCAGCTGCAGCAAGGGCTGGGCCAGGGGCCTGTCCGAATGCAGCCCTTGAGCATGCATCTGCTGCAGACGCAGCAGCAGCAGCCTCAGCAGCAGCAGCAGCCGCAGCAGCAGCAGCTTGACGAACAAGAGATGTGCAGCAAGTTGCTGCAGGCTTTGAGCTCTGTGCAAGGATTCTGGGCGTCAGATGATGCAGCTGAAGATCTTGACCTTGAGCAAGGCAACAGCAGGGACAGGAGGCTGGCCAAAAGGAAGGTTGTGCAAAAAGTGCACCTGCTGGCCAGCCAGCAAAGCCTGGTGAAGCCTCGGACCCCAACCCAGCCTCCTCAGCTGATGGTGGGAAAGTTGCAGCAGGCTGGAGCAGAAGGTGTGGGGTCCAAGCTTGCAGGAACAGGGGCTGGTGCGACAACTGTGGGAATGGCCAAAAGAGGAAGTGGCATGGAAGCTGGGGAAGGAGTCTCAGCAGCTGGTGAACTACCTGCTGAGCCAAGGGAAGAGCGAGCAGGAGGCCAAAGAGGAAGCCAGCAACTTCGAAAAGATGCAGCCCAGGAAGCAGAAGAAAAGATGGCAGCAGATGCTGTGCAGGTGGCAGCTGAGCAGGCGAAAAAAGCAGCAGAGCAGGAGAAAAAGGCAGCAGCTGAGGAGAAGTGGCCAAGCTTGCTGAGGCATCTGCAAAGAGGAAGGCTGCTCAGGAGGCAAGAGCTGCAGCTGAAAATGCAAAGAAAGCTGCGGAAGAGAAAGCTCTGCAGCTGACCTCAGAAGTTGCAGAGCAGATGAAGGATGCAACGAATGCAGTTGAAGAGAGTGCAGCAGATGCCTCTGAGACTGAGCCGCCTTCACCTCCGAAGAAGGGCAAGAAGGACAAGAAGCCAAGGACTAAGAAGAGCCCCTTTGACCCGAGGTGAGAGCTGATGTTTTTCCGTCTTGCATGAGAGTAATTTATTCATGGCGATTGCACTGCGCAAGTGCTATTTTCCATGCATTGCATCCAGCAACTCTTCCAGACCTGAGGAAAATGCTTTGAGCGCCTTTTTCCATTGCAGGGGGGGGGAGATTCGCAGTGCAGAAGTTGCAACATGTCCAGCTGATTCAGGGGAGAGTCAATTAAGCCTCTGCAGAAGAGGCAATAGTGCTGTTTTGATTTTAGTTCACAATTGTTTAGAAACTGTTCAAGGGACAGCTTTGGTGCCATGGTGGTAAAGCCCCTGCAGAAGGGGCAAGAAAGACTAAGCAGGCATCCTGAAGAGCAAAACCCCTGCTGCAGAAGGGGGATCTGAGGCAAGCTGTTTGAGAAGCACATATGTGCACGCAGTAGCCATGCAGCCTTGGATGTTCAAGAAGTAGCTTCCAGATAGCTTTGCTCCTTAGCAGGCAATGTCTAGGCCCATGAGGGTCGAGCTTGTTCCAGCCATTGGAGGTGACCATCTGATGTGGAGCCCTACCTGGACGTGAGCGTGAGGATGGGACCAAAGAAATGGTTGCATTTGATGCACCAAGCATCACGAATGCTGAGGAGAGGTGGTCCCAAATGAGTGAGAGGCCAGAGCAGCTGGCAAGGTGGCTGCAGCAAAGCCCAGATGAGTGGAGGGAAATGCTGCAGCTTTTGGAGGTGGCACACGCAATGAAACTTTTTGAAGCCTGGAGACATCAAGAATTTGTGAGCTCTGACTTCAAGCTTGTGAGAGCTTGGGTGCATGATTTGCCTGAGCCTAGCAAGGGCCATGGCAAAGGCAAAAACAAGCACACACAGCCTCAAAAAGGCAAAGGCAATAGGAAGGGTGTGACTGTGATGAAGGGCAAAGGCAAACTTTGGTGTGAGCATTGCCAAAGTGCTTGCCACCCACTGTGCATGTGCCACTGCCATGATGTAGCCTTGGAACACAGGTACTGGGGCCAAGTGTAA